CCAACACTTGGCGGCACACCAGTGGCAGCCTTAATAGGATAAATCTCCCCAGACTTATCCAATGGCTGTGAACATTATAAACTAACACGAGTCTCATAAGTGTCCAGTTTAGGGGTATTACACAGAAACACACCACAATAACATGAATCAAATATGTACTTTATTCATTTACAATAAATGTCATAATGTACATCAATCTGGTAGGTGCTAAGGGCATACACTGTCTAACAACCGATCGGTTGACACCCCTACTTGTGAGAAGGCACTTTAACCCACTTTGTCCTATAGTATCATGATTCATAAATTCTTTTTCTTCCTGTAGTGATTTTAAGTGCCCATAGGCTCCAAATTAGATGATAGGGATCACGACTAGTGAGATGGGCTAGGATGAGACACTTCCAAGCAAAGGTGTTTGACAAGTAATTTGGTCGAACATATGGTGGGTGATTGCAGTTTTTCAGATTTAGAGTAAATTTAAAGGTGGGCTTCAACAATACTTGCCAATGTTGGGATTTGTTTATTGGTTTCTAGGCTTTGAAACAACATTGTATTTGTTACCATTAAAGGGCATTTGTTTGTTCTATAGTTGGATAATTTCTAAAAATAATTAATTATTAGAATGAACTGAGTGCATTTGGAAATAATTTATGAAAATCACCATTTTAATCGAAGGAATGATAGTGGTGTTTGGAAACATTTGGTGGAAATCATTGTATTAGAATAACAATAACATCCATGTAGTAGACAAGGGAGATAACATAGAGGTGGAGAGATGAAGAGAAGAAAAGAGCTTTGTTTTTTTTCGAGAAAAAATAGGTTATATCTATTAATCGAAGTAAAATGGTAGAAGGAAATCAAGTGCTGAAGAGAGAGAGAGCATTGGCTGTCGGAAACCATGGCAGCCAAGCCCACAGTGATTGCACCGTATATCTATTTGGGTTTTGGAGCTCAAAAAATAAAGAGGAATTAAAAACAATTGAAAAAGGTCACAAGAAGACAACCATCTATCTGAAAAAGTCAACGGAAGCTTGGATGTTGCTATTGGGCAGAGGAAGTGGAGAAGATAGACAACAAACTCTTTTAACAGGCAAACCCGATACTCTTTCCCTTTATTTTCTCATTGGGGTCGCACCCCGAATCCTAATTTTTGAGAAAGTGTGTCCCCCTATTTTCCCATCCCATTTCCATGCATCTCACAAAATAAACATGGGAAAATATAATATTTTAGGAATATTCCATCTTTCCCACCTCTTTCTAGCAAATCAAATATAGCCTTAATTGAAGGGAGGAGAAATCCATCATATGGATGGCCGAACCCTACAGGAAGGTTAGGCGAAATTTCAAAAATTTCTCTCTCCCATGTGGGAATCGGATTCCCTATTTTAGAAAACATCATTTTCAATGATCAATCTTGAAACCAAACCGGACCAGATCTGAAACCAAAAGGGAGTGGAGGGATATACCTGATACAAAGTAATAATAACTCCCAACAAAGGCGTTCACGCCCAAAGAGAAAACCAAACACTGCTCCCACTGAAGATGACACAATATGAGGTAGAGCAGAATCAACAAAATGGCTCTTCAACAAGAACCAAATTCTTTAGCAAAAATGTGATGGAAGGTTGGTGAGCACGACTTCAGATTACCTTTTCTACCTAAAGGTAATATCAATAACCTTTCTTAATCACTCTCACAGGTGTCGAATTGACAGGGGCGACAAGAGCAGAAGACAAGAACAGTCAAACTGTAGATCCTTCTCTCTTGTAATCTGCGAACTGATT